ATCCTTGAGATTTTTTAAGATGTTATAAGCAAGATTCTTAAGACTGTTTAAAGACATGATCAAATACAAAACGTATGTGAGACACCACCGCCATATCCAGTATTTTTATAAATAAAATTTCTCTGCAGTTCATCGCTACGATCGTCGCAAAACATGAAAGTCCCTAGATCTTCGTTGGAAATCATAATATCCAATAATTAGCCGATCCAGATTTCCTAAATTACCCTGTATTAATGTGTATACTCTCGAGCAATAAAAAATTAGTATATAACAGAGGTAGTAGAAGAATCACACCAATTACCTTCCACACAAGAAAAAAAATATATTTATATTTGACTATATTGCTCGGGTCGCTTAGTATCCTAAACTTTTTTTTATTTGCATTACATTGAGCCCGGTCCTAAAGGGACCGCTAAAAATAAATACAAAATCTGGGACTTTGCCCGTGTACATATCATCTCTATACTATTAAACGAGATTATTTTTCAAAAAACCCTTGAACCCACTGTTTCTTCATCGCAGGCTCCTTCTCTACATCCACCCTATCCTTCAATAACTCAATTATGACCTCCATTATCTGCTTCACGTTTTTTTTCGCAATTTTTGTTCCTCCTCTGAATCTTCTTTCAAGGCAGACTCTGTAAACCTAATATTAAGCAGGTTTTTGCTTGTGCATGAAATTCCATCTGAGGAATATAGGATAAAATACCACTCTGTAGCCAATAATTGGAAGGGAATAGTTAGTATTATTCTGAGCAAGAATAAATCCTGGACAGCGAGAAAAGTTAGCCGAAGACGCGACCCATACCTATTATCACGACTCCATAGATATAATCGAAGTATTCTCCAAATGCTTCACTCGCCTTACGCTTCTTCTTGTTCACCTGCAATATAGAGCGAGCATAGAGAATGGCTGAAATATATTCACAGCGAATGGCCTTATTGCTATCAGCAAGTACAGACCTCATGTTCCCCAACTGGCGCTTTATTTCCCTTATACATTGGAGCAATTCCTCATCGTCATCTTTGAGTGGGTAAGGTTGCTTAGAAATGGAACGAAATAGTTAATATTTGCGTATGTAATTTTAGAGAAACAGATGGGTAAGTAACTTCGAAACTTATCTGGTGGAAATTGTCGAATGGTGCCTATTCCATTACCATCAATACAGTGTTTCGCTAACACCTCTTTCAAGTCTTTCTGGGTCTTGTACGAGGAATACGAACGCTTCCTTTTCTCCTTACACTCCTTGGCGAAGTCCACAAGAACTAACGCAGGTCCACCTTCATGCCATAACTACGAAGCTTTTCTTTGTTTGCCTTAAGGAAGGCACAGCCATTAATATCTTCATTTTCTAAAATTCCGAGAGCCGTCTCACTAAGTCTTAACTCTTCTTGACTTCGCAAAAAATCGATAAGTCCAGCCGTATCATATTTCTTGACTTCGTCCGCCAACGTAAGTGCCTCATTTCCTGTGACAGAGGTAGAGGTTGAAGCTGGAGTATTCGTGTTTGACAGAGTTTTTATAGGAGATATTAGCTCGGGTTAAAAAAAGTGTGATATTCCGGAGGCGAAAAATACTTAAAGTGAGAAATTCCCCTGTCGCACAACCCTAACCCTATTCATTCGGCAAGAGTTTTCCCGATATCGTACTGCGCATTTCAGGTGAACCAAGGATAGCACATGACTGTCAACCGATACATGACCAAAGATTCGGATGGAGAACTAGGACTAATAAAAGAAGATACTGAGGTTAAGATAGGTAATGATGATGGCAATAATGAACTTGGAACGGGTGATGATACCGATGATGATGACGATGAATTCTGGATGGTTGATGATGATATCGAAGAAGAAGATAATTGGTGGGGTGCTTCTATTTTCGAGCTGGGTCTCAACACCATGAAATGTTTCCTTATCAAATCAGTCGTGAGGGACAGGAAGTAATACTAGTTTCGAAACATGAGGAAATCATTCCGCTTTTTGGCTCAATTTTCGGAGCACTAATCCTAGTATACCATATACCGGACATGATTATATAGCCCATTTTTGAAGAGAAGCATGGGATGAACTTCTTCAAGTCCAATTTGCTCGTCATCGTAA